AGTTTTCTACCTTGAACATACAAGGCATTGTGACAGTCAAGGGGCAGGTCAAACCTTATTCTCAACTATTTAGGTGCTAACCAGGGACCTGAAGGAAAGCAATGGAAAAACAAAACCTATCAAATGAAAAGTTAAAATGTCATACACATTTAAGGGAATTCCAAAAACTAGGAAATATCAGGAAAGGGTATGAGCTTCAGGTCTGGAAGTTAAGAGGGAAAAAACTGCAACTCTGGCAGCATTAGCTGGCATGGTATCAGGATACAGGTATGCAGAGTGGGAATTAATGAATCTAGTTATACAGGTCCACAGATTCTACGCTCTGGCATCCAGCAAATGTGGTATAGTAGAACAAAAGGCTTTGCATTCAAGCACACACTTTACTAATTGGGTAACCTTGGGCAAGTCTCTAAGCTTTCGGAATCTCAGTTCTTTCATCTGGAAAAGGCAGACAATAATATATAGGAGAGTTATTTTTGTGCTTAAATGAAAGGACAATCACACATGCACCACTGAATGCTGATTTCTCTTGTACTTTTCTTTCGCTGAAGAATCCATCTCTTGGGCATAAAACAACGAGGGTATTTTCTCGTTAGTCCCCTTTACCTGTTTTAGCCTTGACGTTTACAAAATGATATGATTGCAAAATTTCAGAGCTGAAAGGAATCCTAAAGAAAAACACACAATGCACTGTAGCAGAAGAAACTCAGAGATCAGCTAATTCAGGTCTCTCACATTTTAGATTCCAGAAAGAAAACACAGGCACAGGCAAAGTTACACCAGGATTAGAGAAGCAAGATGTGAATGAGATGAATCATAGGTCCTAGCCGGGGTCCTCAGTTCTAGTATAGCTGCAGGACAATTCATGGTTCCTCCTAGTTCTAGAATGAAATGCAAAGATCATTCTCAGCATCATTTTGTGTTTTGTGCTACAACATGGATCATACTACTTAACTTTTAGAAGCCTCAGTTGCCTTCAAAACTAAGATTATCGCAAGAATTGAATGAGATGATATAGGTAAAACCCTTAGCACAAACAATGATGGAATTCAATAAAGGGTAGCTGTTAATGTGGATAATCGTAATTTAACAGACTAATAAACTGAAGGAAATGCTGATAAAAGAAGTAATGGCAATTAACTGCCTCCTGAGAATAGGTGTTAAGCCTCTAAGTAGACATCAGTGTTCCTAGTTCCTATCTGTAGGGCCCTACTGAACAACTTGGCTGAGGCACCTGCGAACACTCTAGAACTCACTCTGCTGCAGCTGATACAGACAGCTAAAAGTCAATCTTAGATAGTGGTCTCCAAACCTTTCCATCAGCATAAGCCATGAGCCATGTTTTTGAAAACAGGCACATGAAATGAATGCTAACCTGAATTTATCCCCTGAATGTCAGATACCAAATGTTTTGTGACCTTCCTGTACTTTGGTGATATTTTTCCCCCACAGAACAATTTCTAAAATGGGTAAAGAGCACAGTAGGTGGCTCTCTAATATTTCACTGACAAAGCAACAATGACTCACCAGATCCTACATCTGTGTCACCACTAGAAGCTTGACGAAGTTGAGCAACAAATGAAATTGTGTGTATACTTTAGATGACCTTTTTGTTTTCTTGCTGTCTCTTCTGATGTTCCTAGCCACACTGCCCTTTCATGATTAAAAATGATGCTAACTGCCTACCTTTTGGCAAAAGCAAGCATATGTTTCCAGATCTCAAAGCGAGGAGCCAAACACTCTCCTAGATCTGTGCGCACAGGCCTGTGCCCTTGTTACCCAGAGGAAAAACTCCATGGCCTGCAAGAAGGCACCAGGGATAAATGGCCCCACTGACTGGGCTGGCCATGGATCTGTTTAGCTTCATGCATAAGCTTACAACTGTCACTACCCAAACAGAGAAATAAAACCCCAGACCAGTGATTAGCACCAACAGCAAACAGTGATATTTTTTTATTCCCCAAATGTTGCTTAGGCGCAATGATGTCTCTATTCCACCCTTTGGCCTTAAGAGTTCGTGAAAAAGTTGAAATAATGCTATGGCTATTCGTGATTTTTATTTCTGACTGCTCATATCAGTCTTCTAACCATCACTGATGGCGGTGGGGAGAAACCACTCACAACAGAAGAAAAACCTGAAGAAACGCTGAGCTTTATGTCCCCACTGTACTCTTCCTCCTAGGAACTGAGGACTTGCATCACATCAAACACCAGAGGATAAAAAGGTTGCCTCGGGGTCACTGATTTAAAATCTTCTGAGAACTGGCTCCAGTGTACTTCACAGAGCATGCTGAGGAATTGTTCTCTTAGGAAGGAAATATCCCCTTTCTGATAAAAAAGAAAAAAATAAGATACCCTGAAATCACAAACCAAGTAAGATCAACCTAGCAACTGAAGTAAATTGCTCAATAGCTCACCACAGAGGTGGCAGAGTGTGACAGGAAAATCCCCCATCCAAAAGTCAAAAGGTGTGAACTGCCTGCTTAGAGCTCAGATTTACAAACCATGTGGCCCTTGGCACTCTCCAAGGGTCATTCCAATCTCATTCCAATTTTCCTTTTAACCAATTGGGCCTAATTAAGGTACCATTTAATGAGCATCTACTCACTATGTATACCTGACACTATTTCAGTGAATGTAATCATCACATGAATTCTTAAAGTATATGTGTTTATTCCATTTTAGAGGTGGACAAAACAGAAGTTATAAACAATGAAATAACTTGCTTAGTATTATCCAGTAACTTAGGTCCTGGAGCTGGAATGTGAAATCCAAAAACATGGGCTCCTTTCACTATTAATATGCCTGCCATGTCCTTCTCCCAGGGCTGCTGGAAGTAACAAGAGAGATAATATATGTGGACTGTACTTTAGAAATTTTAAAGTGATGCATATATGTCATTGCCCAAACTTGTATCAATGGGCAATGACAAATAATATGCATGGGGAGAAGGGGTATCACTAGGCATGCTTTCTTCCAGGAACCCACAAGACTTTGCTCTCAATCTCCCTTCCGCCCCTTGTTATGACCTTATTTTGAGCATTTTCCCTTTCCCCACAAGTCCCTGCTCCCTCAGGCACACGTTCTGATGATCGTGGCCAGCTCATCACAATGCACGCACACAGAACAAGCTGATGGAAGCAAGTGATCCCATCCTCTGCAAATAGTCGGTGTGGGAAGCACCCAAGTGGGCCCTGCTGGCCTCTCACCCTCCCTCCAATCGTGTCACACTCCTTCTCAAGCATGCAGCAGTACTGCAAAGGGATGCTGAGGATGACGAAGGAGGCAGCCCACTACCAATGCTAAGCATTTTATTCATATAGGCAGGAGATAATCTAAATAGCTATGAAATAAAAACAAAATTAGCTGTCATGAGCAGGGTGGGGATATATGAAAGGAACTATTTAATTATAAAATACCAGCAATATACAAAGATGTGTGTGTGTGCACACACGCGCACACACGTGTGCTCACGCTTAAATAAAACAAGTTAGTTTCCAGAAGGGACTGAATTCAGCAGCAGGCGTGCACAATCCCACAGGAATACATTACAGTTTTGCTACTGTTTTCTGACATTAGCTGAACAATACAGAGTTGTCTGGCTGATCTAAGAGCACAGGATGATGGGGTTTAGCACAGGCTACAAAATTGCCTCAACTTCCAACTTCCTCTTCTCTTGTTTATCCCCCCTCAAGCCCCAGACCTGCTTTGTCAATCAAGAATGCCTAAGATCCAGGCAGTTCACAGGCAAAGGACTGACCTAAAAACTAGCAGGAAATTCCCATCACTAAAAAACATCCATCTGATATTCCAGATCAAGACTCTCTTACCCCAATCATGTGTGCACAATATTCAGAAGGAAAAAAAAAAAAAGCTTACAATAAAAAATTGTTCCAACTCCAAAGTAGAAAATAGCATCACCTTTCCAGACACAGCGCAAGGTCACTCCTAAGCAGTAAAAACACCTTTCCCAAACTCACTGTCTCCAGGCTCACTCTACAACACTCACAATGGAGTCCAGTGTTTTGTATGGGCTAGGTGCGGCTTCAGGCGCTCCCCTCAATATGTAATTCGGATTTTCCCATTTCATCCTCACAATTATGCACTAAGCCTCACTGTCACCCCTGCACATCTCCACTTTGCGAAGGGGGTTGAGGGGAGAATCGGGAAGGTGGGCTAACTTTCCCAAGTTCACACAGCTAACACAGGGCAGAGACCTAAACCAGGTGAGCCCCGCTTTTCCAGCAGGTAGCTAACCCAGGGATCTACACAGCTGAGCCCCAAAGGCCTCCTGCGATGCCCAGGTTCACAATCTGGCAACCCAAGAGTGGAGGGTTGACAGGTGAGGCTCTTAGAGGAAACAACAGAAGTTTGCTGGTCCGTTTCGGATTTTTGCCTTTCATTCCGTTTCCCGGCTTCCTCCCACTCCTTCTCAGTGAACAGGGCGATGGGCGAGCGCCTTGAAGTCCGCTCTGCTCTTCCTAAACCGGGACACCTAACGTCCCACGGGACCAACAGCTCAGGTGCTGTGGACCTGGGAGATTACTGTGACCACCACTGGAGGTCACCAGCGCAGTTTCCTTAGCTCTTCCTCAACTGGGCCAGGAGCCTGTTGGACACTCTGGGCAGGAGCATCTTTCAGAAAGCAGGTCAGGAAGAGCGAGTGAGGCCGCTGGGGCAGGGCCAGAAGGGGCACAAGCCTGCAGGCTGAGGCTCAGGGACTCCCACCCTCGGGGCTGAGGAGCGCTCCTGGGAATCCAAGGCGGAGTCCCGCGCGGCTGTTTCTCAGTCCCTGGAGCAGAGGCCGGGTCTGACTCTCCGGGTTCGAATCCCGGCCGCCGCTCTACTACACTGAGCCACCCCGGTCGGTGCCTCGTCTTGGGTCTCAGTTTTCCCTTCTGTAAAACAGGAGCGACGGGGAGAGAAGGTCTCCAGGACTCCATCTGCCCCGAGTTTCCGCGGCTGGGTATCCCCAGCCCTCGCCGCAGCGCCAGACTCACCTTTCTGGGAAGCCGAGCGGGCGCGGGCGATGCGGCGGGAAGGTCGCTGGGTCGCCCGCGGCTGGTCCTCGCGGTGCCCCGGCCACAGCGCGCCCCGGGGACCTGAGCCCGGGCTGTCTGAGCCCTGCGAGCCTCTTACTTTCCGCCGCACTTTCTTTTTCCCCTTTCGGGGCTCCTCCCCCGGCGCCCCGCGATTGGCCGCGATCTGGCGGATCAGGCTCCACCCGCCACCCCGGCTCGCGATCCCCGAGCGCCCCGGGCTTCCCAGGCAGCGGCCTCTGGGCGGCGCGGTGGCGGTCCCGCCCGCCGCGAGGAGGAGCCGCGGCGCAGCGGGCGGAGGCGCGGCTGCGCCCCCCTCGGGCGCCCGGCAGTGCCACGCGGGGACGGAGCGTGAGCGCCCGTCCTGCAGCCCCGCCGGGGGCGCCGGGCAGATCCGGCCCCGCAGAGCAGAGCGCACACCTGCATGCGCTGCGGGAACGCGTTCGCCGAGTGGAGTGGAAGCCACTCCTGCCCAGCTCTCCGCATTTAGCTGCGGGGGCCTCAAGGCCCTGCTGTGGGTGGTGGGCGGTGGGCGGTGGGCGATGGATGGCCCACTGGTTGACCAGCACCGAGCGAAACAGAAAGATGCAGAAAACCCATGGCCAAGGTCCAGGTCCAGAGCTCTGCCTGAGTGGGAAGTGACAGTCACAGAAGCATGCAGTGGATCTCAACAGCAGGACTGAAGCTGTATGTTCTTATTATGTGAACAGTACCTAGCACAGCACCTGGCCTAAGTAGGCACTCAGAATATGAAGAATGAATGAAATGAAGGGTTGTGGAATGCAATGATCTCCTTCCACTCATCTCATTCTTCCAGGTTTCTCCAAAAGCCCACTGTCACTGGGTGATATTCCTGTGATGCTGAGGAGAGGCTTTACAATGACTAACTCCTTCATCCAAGAGCTTTCTATTGTTAGCTTTTTTAGCCCAATGAGAGTTTCATTTCCCCCACAGAATCCTCCTTGGAGCTCAGGAACACTTGGCCGCTGACCTACATTCCCAGCCCTTTCCATTTTTTGAGTTTGAGACAGGCTCCAGCCAAATCATTCAGGCTGGCCTACACCTTGCAGTTGTCCTGCCTCAGCCACCGTGGAGCAGGGATTTCCTCCTGGCTGGCAGGGCCTTTCAATCCCTGTTCCCATTTCCAAGACTCGCTCACTAGGGCAGTCTGCCAAGCTGGGCCAGCTCTTCAAGTGTGTCTTCCCTCTCTCCTGTCACCTCCTCCTTGACTTTTTTCCTCACTGCCAGACAATGGCTTCTCCTTAATTTATGTATTCAGGAAACTGACATCCACAGAATTCAGTTAAGGAGAAATACAACAATGGAGGAAAAGAAAAGCTCCAGGGTGAATAGGACCAGAAGTGGAGTGAGAGAAGACAGGGTCTTGCTGAAGCTAAAGGAATACAAAGAGCAATGTGTCACCTTCCCCAGGCAGCTAAACTCACCAAGGTCACATAACAGTGTGGTCAGCACCACACAAATGGTCATATTATGCCACTTCTTATCCCAAGAAATGTTTAGTTATCCTGGACACTTAGCAGATAATATATGCTCACTAAAGTGTCACAGAAGCAAAAGGAAATAATCCTAAAGCTTTCAAAATGTAGCTGTATGAAACAAGAATACAACTATTTTTTTACTTTATTAATTCATTAAACATAGAAACCAACCTGGGTTTTTCATATGTAGCACACTCATTAAGCACTTCTATGAGTAAGGCCTACAAAGTAACAATACAATCATAAGGACATTATATATAATAATTCTCCTTCCCCTCAAAGCCTGTAGGATCCTATTGTTATCTACACTTTACAGATGAGATGAAAAGACCTTAAATAACATGGCCTAACATACACAAACCTACAAGTGGAAAATGCAAAATAAGAACCTAGGCAATCAGCACTGATGTTCCTAAATGCCTCAGGAGACAATCTCTTATGCTACCTAGAAACATGCAGAGGATAGTAATTCAGAATTGATCCAGATGTAGATTTGAACTTTGGGGATCTATGCATAGTTTAACAAACGTAAAAGACATTAAATAATCACAGCGTGACTTGAAGAGTATATGAACGATTGGTGTTTTATTTTGTATCTGGATGTCCCCCCCAAACCTCCTGCTGTCATAGAGGTATGGGCTTTTCAGAGGCAACTGAATCTAGGGTTTTGATTGATTCATGGTCTAATGTTGGGATTAACGGAGTGAGTGCTACACTGCTCTAGGGTAGGTAGCCTGCTTACAATATAAGGAACTGAAATAGGCTGACTCTCCCCTCCTCTCCTTGCTTTTGGTGTCTTCTGCTGCACTGCAAGTTTGCCCTTCTGCCAGGCCAACCTCCCTTGGAGTCAGCCAATTATGGACTGATACTCTAAAAGCTCCAAGCTAAATAAACCTTTCCTCCTTTAATTTTAGGTGTTGAATATTTTGTCTCAGCAATGAGAGAAAAGTAACTAAAACAATTGGGAATTAAAATGATTGATTGACCAATGCTATGTGCTTGTTGTCATAATTACCATATTACATATATCTACAAAGAAAAAGATTTGTAATATGACTAGCAAAGCTTAATAAAAATTATGGAAACATTTAGGCAGCAATTACAAGTAATGTGAAAAGTTTGTTAAGATTATGAGAGTATAGTCATAATTTCTCTCATGGAAATTTGTTTTAATATCAAAACTTTGTTGTGATGATTAAGAAAAATGTTTTAAAATGCATCACTTTATACTTATTCAGTGAATAATCCTTTCTCAAATGAGTGACTGAAAATCCATTATTGTTTAGTATTTAGGAGTATTGACCGTGTAGGAGGTGCTCAGTAACATATTTACAATTAATTGAAGTATTGGGGAAAAGCATTATTATCTTCCTCTTCATGCTCCTACTGCTCACCACCTCTTAAGATATCTTAAATCATCTCTCTAAAACTGTAAAGTGCCTCAGGTTTCCCTAGCACTTTGAACTTAATTCAGTCACACTTTTGTTCTTACATTCATATTGAAGATCACCAGTCACCTCCACATTACCAAATGCAAGGGTCAGTTTTCAGTCTTCATTTTAGTTGACCTAGTAAAGCATTATGCTCCTTTGACCTATTGCTTCTTGACTTTGTTTCTTACCTCCTTGTCTTTTCTGTTTCATCTACTGGTCTTTATTAGAGCCTTTTACTCAATCCCTAACCTCTTCACCATCTCTAAAGGCAGGAATGTCCCAGTACTCTATCTTTGTAATGATTGTATTTCTTTCCTCAGGAATCTTATTCAGACCCATAGCTTTCTCAAATGTCTATATGATAATGACCCAACTATTTAGATAATAGTCCAAATGACAGACTTATACATTGTAATGCTTCTTCATATATTTACATATTCAACTTTTTAGTTTCAATTTTTCACCAACCCATCTCCTCTCCACTTCTTCCTTTGCAATGAATACCCTGTTTTACCCAGTTGATCTAGTCAGAAAGTTACCCGCGATTCTTCTCTTTATCTCACAGGCAATCCATCCCCAATCTTTGTTTCAAATAAATTTAGAATGCCTCCCAAATCTGTACAGTAATCCTCTCCTCCACACAAGCACCATATTCCAAGTTACTGTGGTTTCTTCTTCAATGGTGTGCTTGCTTAAACTTTTGTGCAATACATCTATATCTCACACTTCAGATATTCTTATAAATGAAAATCAGAATAAATATAGACCAGGAATTAAGGGCAAAGATTCTGAAGCTAGTCTGCCTAACTCCAGGTTCAACTGCCATAACATAGTAACGCAGTCAAGTTATTTAACTTCTTTTCTGCTTCAGTTTCATCCTCTATAAAATGGGAATCATAATAATATCTTTATCCTAGTTCTGTTTTAAAATTAAATGAGCTTATGTAAGTAAAAGGCTTTTACTTAGAAGAGGGATTGGCACCACTAAAAGCTATAAAAGTATGCATCATTATTTTTATAAGATAAAGTATGTCATACTCTGCTTTCAAGCATTCAATAATTTCTCATTATGACCAGGTAGATTTTCAGAGCCCTTACTGTGGCCTCTGGGGTCTCTCTGCCTCTGCCTTGGGTTATATCTTAAAATGTTTGCTGTGTGCTCCTTGCAGCTGTTCCAAAATGTGTCCCTATCCTGAAGCCTTTACTTTGCTCCTCCCACTCTTGGAATGCTGTTCCTTATGGCTTACAGCATTTCTCTCACATCTTCATTCATGTTGCTACTTGACTCCCAGCTTTTCAGTGAAGCTTTTCTTGACAACATTAAATAACACCACTTTTATTGTCTGTCGTAGTTATGTTACATTTGACTTGATACGTTTATTGAATGCCTCTTTAACTGGATTCCAAGTTTCAAGAGCATAATGTGATGCATATCTAGCGGAAAGTGGTTTGCAGCTGTTTGCACAAATTATTCATTTGATAAACATTCATCCAGTTGCTAATCCAGCCCATATGATGACTCAAAAATTTAAGGGATTAATTTGTTGTGCTCCTACTTTTACATTTTTGGGAGGCCAGAAAAATGGGAAGAAAAGAAGGAAAACAGCAAACAGCAGTTTGGGGTGGAATCAGGGTAAAGAAAGTACAATACTGAGATGGCTTCTTTTTGGATAGAAGGTAAAGGGCAAGATTGATCAAAAAGGAAAATATGAAAATGGAGAAGACATAATTATGGCACCTTTCATATTTTTCATGTCTCTGGTACTCCTGGGTCATTTTTCTTCCTTCTTTAAGACGCCTCTGCCTGCTCTCTGTCTACACAAAGTCCCTCCTGACATATGCAGGAATTGTCTTTCCCCACTCCTCATGAGACCGTCTGCATCCTTATTGCTTCTGCTCCTGATAAATGTCCTCAGTTTTCATCAGCTGGTTGTGGGGAAACAAGCAGACTAAATAAAGTCACATTAAAGGGAGGATTACAAAGAGCTCAGCTCTGCCTCATCATAGATTCAAGCTCATTTGCCTAAGCACATATAACTGAAAAACATAAACTAGGCAGCAAACTAGAGTGGTGAAAACAGATATTATTTAGTAATACTGACTGTAGAGGAACCGAGCTCCACTCCTGTTTGGGCATTTTGAAGGGAAAAAAAATAAAGAAAATTCAAAGCCAGTGTTCAAGAGAGTCAGAGAAATGAAAAATTACAAAAGATTGGCCCATGTAC